CACCACCACCACCACCACCACCACCACGATCACCACCAGCAGCAGCAGCAGCACCACCACCACCACCACCACCACCACCACTAGCAGCAGCAGCAGCAGAAGTAGCAGCAAGAGTAGGAGGTGCACTAACCACATGTTTAAGTATGTGCTGGACGTCGGTGGTGTCAGGGTCGAAGCAGGAGATCTTGTCAAGCATGTTGGACGAGTTTAAGAACTCCACCGCCTCCTCTGTACTGTCATGCTCCTTGCTATTGGGAAGCTCGTTCACCATCTTCAGTATCTCGTGAATCACTAAATCAATCCTGAAATGTGATTAGCTACCAATTATTGCGTGCTTTTTGGATTCCCCTCGAATGAAAGTTATACAGGGAAACCACTATCATGGAACAGACCCCTGTCTTCAAAGGTCACTTTTAGCATTTTCACTGAGTGACACTTATATGTACATGTTTAACTACACTAGCACAAATACTATATATAAAGAGTACTTAATATCGATGCGCGCAGGCTGAAATTTAAAGCAATAACAGTAGACTATCTTATGCTTACTCTTTCGCGTTCTGCTCAATCTGTGCATCTAGCTTGGTGACCGAGTTACTCAGTGTCTCGACCATAGGAACATGGCCACTCTTTAGGAGTGCAGCCAGGCCAGTGCCCGAGGCACGTGACCGCTCCATGTGGACTCCTAGCACTCCACTCAGCAGGAGCTGTTCAGCACAGACACTCAGCTAAGAATTCATACATCTGCAAAAAATATTAGAAGCAATTGTTTATCTATGGTGATGCACACGCACACGATCGCACGCAGCCGCGAACACATTCACACACATTTTTATATCAGGAAGAGTACATACTACATAATATAGCTGCAGACATGTCAATTCTCACGCTCTCACGCTCATCTCTAAGTTTCTCACGCAAAAATCAAAATCAATCAATAAATAATTAAAACCCCCTATTTTCAGCCCCAGATACCAGTATACTAGAGAATACTTATACAGTATACTAGACCTTACTAGACTAGACTATACTAGACAGTATACTTACAGTATACTAGAAGCTTTTAGCTTATGTTACAATGTTCATGATATACCGATAAAAATAAATTTTACTTTACTTTACTTTACTTTACTTTAGTATCGGAAGGCTAAGGCCCAATCAACAGCGCCGCTCCACGGCCGCCCAGCTAGCTAGCTCGCTCCGGCCGTATACGTATAATACGTATACGCTATTAGCGGAGCGGCCAGCGCGCCTCGCGCATTTTATTTGCCTGCTTGGAATCCAATATCCAGCATAGATGATGGCGTTGCAGGTTACCGAGGTATTTTGTTTACTTTTCAATTCTCAGCTTGCACTTTTACTTAATTCAATAGCAACCTCACAGAGCAGTGATATAGTGGCATGACACATGACACACATGCTGAGTCATAAAAAAATTCAATTAATATTTCCCAATACTTCTAATCATTCAAAATGAGTAAGAACTTATACATTTATAAAGGCAATAAATCATACCATAGTTATGCACAAAATTGCACCATTTCAAACCTCAAATTTCGGATAGCTCCCACACCCTCCCCCCCTTGGTCGCTTCGCTCAACGCTGAGTCTCACTCTCAACCATTTCTCAAACTAGACATTTCTGTAGCTGTATTGTAAATTTATGTGTATTGGCAATTTCATGAGGCCAAATTGTCTCATAAATAACTTGGTAAATAAGAAGCAACCAGTACTGCTCAGTTATCATGAACAAACCACAGGCACAGGTTCATTGATTCAATTGAGCTATTAAGTATTAGGCCGTGGCTACGCGACCGGTTCCGGACGAGGAGCCGCTGGGCTACGCGTCCGGACATCCATCTCACACAGTGAATGAGTGATCTGGCAACACGTACACGCATGATTGCGCAACGGAACGCTCAGCTGATTGCCGAGTGTGTGCGTGTGTGTGTGTGTGTGTGCGTGAGAGAGAGAGAGGGAATGTGTATGTGTGTGTGTATGCGTG